TAAAATTCTTTTTAGATTGTCGTTTGTCAAGACTTTTTTTTTTTTTTGTACTGATTTAACACCTACTGAGATAGAACCTGTAATCCACACTGTCGACACAGATTTCACCTGTTATTTTACTAATAAAAAAGACACTTTTTTAACCAAAAAATTTTCAAATTTTTTGTCTGTTTATCATTTTACCTGCTGCTTTTTTTTTCTGCTATAATTTACAGGCAATAAATTAAGCGAAAATGTTATTTCAAAGTATGATTAATCGGTTAAATTGAATTACTGGTTCCAAAAAAAATCGCAAAAACTTAGTACCTTGCTGGTCTAATTGAGGTACATTTAACTTATCATCCAAGCTGTTATCGAAATCGCCAACTATACTTTCGATGTATAAATCACCATATTTTTTTGAGGATAACAAATATGCTTTTGAAGCTTTTTTTTCACCTGAAATTTAACAATTGGTTATTCAATATAACTTCAAAATGTTGAAGCCATTATTTTTTTGGCTAGTTTTTAATTTTTTATTCTTTAGAAAGCGTACAACTACTATAAATGTCATATAGATTTGTTAATTTTTTTCTTTTTAATTTACATGTTTTTTATTTTCACTTTTTTTTTTGTTATTAAGGCTTGTTGTTGTAAATAAAGTTTTCTTTTGTTTCATCCAAGCATGTTAACGGGGTTAAACCAACAATGTACTCTCTTACCATTAATGTTACTTTAATTGATAAACAACGAAAAAGTCAACTAAATTATAAATTTAAAATGGCTAAACTGTAAGATATAAATAATATCAGTTTATTGTAAACTGTTAAATAATACTAAGTTTACTTTGATTTTTGTAAGTATTTTTTTTTATTGTAGTTAGTGTTGAATTCTATAGGCTACTAGCCAATTTTTAGCCCACCAAAAGTGTCTGTTTAATGTGAAAATTTTGCGGTCGTCTCTTGAAAATCTTAGTTGCTTAACCAGTAGTATAAAAAATATCCATCTTGTCGTTCAGTAAATGTTATTATAATCCAAATTTAAAAAGGTGAGAAAAAGGAGTAAAGAAGTTGGCAAACCGCCAACAGCAATTAAAAGTCGTTCAATTTACGTGTCATTTTTAACTGAGACTGCTAAGCACTTTTTTTTTCCAATTTTTTTTTTTTCTTTCTCTTTCGGTTTTATAATTGTAATAAAATTATTGTTGCAAATTCAGTAGCAATAAACAAATTTTTGGTTGTGTTGAAGGCAGAAAAATAAGTGTATAAATGATAAACTGGCTTTACACTCCCTAATCCTACTTTTTTCCAGTAACAGTTCAGCGTTGGTATTGCCTTCAGAATTAGTTTTTGCCTGTTTTTGTACGTCATCAACATTAAACCGAAAATGTACATTTTGTCGATTGACAACCCGATTTGAAGTACCATGTGGTACCTAAAAATTTATAGCTTCTAAAAAAGATTGTCAGTGAAAACAGTCAAAACTGTAGCGTTATCAAAGGTAAGTTTATCTTTTTTTTTTTATTACTTCTCTATGGCAAGAGAGGAAAAGAAATTGAATAGGGTAAATGGATGATGGCAAAGAAGTTAGAAAAAACAGTCACAAAAAAAATTATAAATTTTATTTGGATTTTTTTTTTATTAAAAATAAAAAAGAAGAAAATAGTAAATAAAGAAAAAACAAATTTGTAGTACGTTATACGGTACACAGAATAAACAGCAATAGGTGTTCTCTTTCTTTTCTTTTTTTGATATACCAATTGTAAAGCTAATAAAAGATGCTTCAGTTGGGTGCTTAAGAAGAAAAAATTGGTAGAAATCAATGTGAGATGTTTTACCTTTGAAAATGGATAATTTGTACTGCTAGGAAATATTAGAAAACAGTACAGCGTAATAACACTGAGGATAACATATTTCCATCGGTTCAATGTTACTCTTATAAATCGAGGCGCCATATTCGTTCACAGTGACCAAAAATCTACGCTCTTCAGATGTGTTCATTCCCTTATCATTCCTGCAACCAAAATCAGAAGCAGTATTAATTATACAGTTATTTATTTAGAATATAGCAAAGTTTAATGACGCCGTCAACAGTTCACTGGTATACTTGATCAATGATCTGTCTATATTTAAGCAATAAATTTTGCTGCTCAAATCTAATAAAATAACAAGTATTCTGAACTTTTTGAAGCAATTTTATTTCACTTCTTTTGTACTTCTACAAGTGCTTTTGTCAGTGCTAAATGTAAAAAACGTTTGTTTCAAAAGGAAAAACATGGTTATTTTTTTGCAAAAAAATATCAATAATAAAACTACAACTAGTTTTCTGTAACTTTTTTTTTTTTTATAAACTATTTTTTTGTTTTTAAAATTTTAGCATTTCGTTTAAAAATTAATTTAAAGATATTGTAGTGCTAACAGTGATCTGTTTTTAGTTTTAACAGTTAATTTTTTCTCTCGAAAATTTATAGCAGATTTTAAAAATTATTCTACTTGTTTCTTTGTATAATGCTTGCGGAATATTACTGAACAAAACAATTCTGGTTTTAAAGTAACATCTGCATTCAGGTATATCATATTTTGCTGAAAAAAAAAATGCTGTTAGTCGAGTGATAACGTAGATAATTTTAAAAGTTTCTTACTAAGATTTTTAGTCATTGTTAAATTTTTAAAGGTAACAGTAATTTGGTTTCTTTTATGGTAGATGCACTAGAAATAACTGCTTTATTTTGATCTGTTATTAACCTAATTTAATTTTTATCGACTTATCTGCTTTTGCTACGCCGTCAACCCCCTTTCCTCTTCTTGGGTTTTCTGTTGCAACGCTAAACACTATTAGACGTTATTTGACCACTACCAAATCTGTTTGGCTCAAATCTCCAAAAAATTAAAATTAAAATTGAAAAAAAAAAGCTTTTAAAAGACAAAGAAAATTAGTGAATAGAATAATGCAAATTGCAAACACAAATAAAAAAAAAAATTTTTTTTTTTTGGGCTAATAATCAGAATTAATTTTAGATCACTAAATGATTACTAAAACGATGATACTGACGCAAGCATAAATTTGAGGTATGTAAGAAGTGCGTACAATAAACACAGAAATACAGGCATAAACCCAGATACATTATATATATA